TTTTTTTTTATGTTTTATGAATAAACACGATGTTTTGGAAATATTTATCAAAAGAAATTTATACTATGTTGCGAATTACAATTTCGAGATAACCTTCTTTTATTTACGAACTTATGTCTTTGATGCTGAAATTGACAACTTTATAAAAATACATTTTCACTGAAATTATGAAATCTGGGTGTCGGAAAGGTGTTAAATTATTCTTCGGAAAAGAAAAAAACAGTAGAGCTAGATAAGAAATTATACGGGGGCAGGCTCCTATGGAGAATTAACATTACTGGAAACAGGCCCTTTATTTGACATATTTTCAATATATATAAATGTATCAAGTGAAAAAAACAATATACAGTTAGTCGAGCCATGCCATTGACTAGTAAAATCAGTGAACTCTAGATTGGACATTTATATTGGTAATTAGTAGACCCCAAGTCAGTAAAAAGAATATGGAAAGTGAAAATTAATTAATTTCATCTGGAACTACATTGGATTTTTTCAGCTTCGATTTTGATCCGACCGTCCGTCACACCTTTTGGAACCTTCTGATTGGTACGTCCACTCGTCTGGTGTACCTGACCTTTAACCAGACAACAATCCAAAGAGTATGCGCTGTTCCTACCAAGCGAGACGCTACAAAGTAAGTCTGCAAAGATTTATGTATTACCACGAAATATCTACAACGTCCTTTATCCGTCTCGTTCACTGCTGACCAGCTTTTGTGAATTCGTATATTTTACGGGATTTTAAGTCATCCCTTTCTGTTTAAACAGCAGTGGTTTAGATTGGTTTGACATTCCATCTTTCTGGACCCTTACATCACCGATGAGCCATATTAGGACAATACAGCCTTATGATGCCGTGAAGCGGAGCGGTGTAATTCAGTTTAGGCATATCTCATGCCAGATTTGATAGGTGCAATTACCTGTTTGATTTACGTTCATCATTTAGTGGTTATTTTCCCACAAAAAACCCATAAGACCTTTATTTCGAAGATGCCTTGCAATAATTTATACATAGACTGATGTTGTTGTTGTTGTTGTTCATTCTGTATTTTTATGTTTAAGTTGCAAAGAAAAGATTTAATCGTCATTATCAGTGTGAACTATTATACATTTATTAAGATCTCACAGTTACGTAAAATATACTGCATATTCCTCTGTGAGCAAACAGTTTGGATAATATACACATAACATAACAAAATCAACTGTAATTGTATTCTAAAATAGTTCAACTGTAATTGTATTTTAATAAAATCAACTGTAATTGTGTTTTTAATAGGATATTTCTATTTGCGGGGCCAGCATTTTTTCTGACCTTTTCCATCGCTACGTTTGAAGGACTCGTAGCTGTGGCCTATTTTCATTCTATCGGATGTGATCCCCTCGCGACTGGACAGATCAAAAACCCTAATCAGGTAAACGCATTTGTTTACTCAACATTTAGACAGCACTGTCACTTAATCGTATTATGTTACAAACAATAGCTTTTAATATTTCCGTCGACCTTATGTTGCTCAATTTTACAAAATATTTCTTTGTTTATATTATGTTGGTTTAATTGTGCAATATTGTGAAAATAAGGTATCGCTGTCGAAGGATTAGGTAAACAACTATTTGTAATGCTAGACCAGTAGAACTATTAAATTATAAAGCTTACTATTGTGAAAAACTCGACTTTCGTAATCTTGTGATTATATTGTTTGACATACTGTATCTATTATCAAATGCTGAAGGTGTAATCATCTGTGTCTCTTTCTTTTGCGTTGTAGTGAGTCACGAACGGGCTGAGTCTAAAATATTTCAAAATATCATCCTAATTAAATAAATAGCAACAGTCATTATATGTCCAAGCTTACCATTTCATCAGGGATTGGATAGTCCTCACCCTTGAACCATCCCTTTATGACAGAAGAAAAAAACTTTCATTACAATTTGCAGCTCAATTAAAATCAAACCCTAAAAATCCTGCTTTCGACCAAGTATTCAACCCAAAATACCAAAACATATTTACGCAAAACCAAAAACTTCTGCCAACATTTGGTATCCGAATTTCAAATTTCCTGCAAGAACTCAACATAAAGTTGACGGACATAGCTGAATTTAACATATCTGATGTTCCTCCGTGGACCATTCAAACCCCTGATTTTAACTTTACATTATATAAGCGAGGGAAATCAATATCGATGAACACCGTATTAAAAAGGAATTATTTGTTCAGACTCTCTATCTGTCCTACAGAGTTTACAGTTACGAGATCCTAAAAACACACTCGTACAAAACCTTGCTCTTCGAATATCTCGTATCTTAAAATAGTCGAAAATAACTTTACTATGTATTTNCGTAGAGAGGAAGTTGTCCTCGCTCGGCTCCGTACTGGGCACACATATCCTACTCATTCGTACCTTTTAAAACGAGAAGATCTACCTTCATGCCACGCATGTGACACTCCATTTACAGTGGAACATTTTTTAATAGAATGTTCCGATTTTAAACACATTCGTGATAACTACTTTCGAGTCCCGGATATGAAAACACTTTTCAGTTCCGTGGACTCGAAGGCATTATTTAACTATTTGAAAGACATCGGTCTATTTTATAGACTCTGATGTCTTTTAACCCACCTTACCGTTTTTGACGTTATATATATATCACATATTCCATATCATCTATTCGTTATCTCTTTTATTATTTTAACCCCAATTTTTTATTTTTTATTATCTACACATACAATGCGAATGCTTTTAAAATGAACCATTTTATCTGATTTTATCTTCACTACTCACATGTTTGTTAAAAAAATAAAAAAATAAAATAAATCACCATGGCCCTTAAATGACCACAGCCGTCGATGGGCCGTTAAACATAAACAAACAAACAAACAAACAAACCCTTGTGAATACAGGGAGTGCACACGCAAACAGGAAGTTTCACATAATCAGGCAGTTTTCTCCATTGTTTTCATTCTAATATTCAGATTCTGTCTTTTTCAAAAGAAGTTAACTGTTATTAAGAAGGCTCCACCCTTTCACAAGTATCCAGCAGAATTCAATGAAATTTTCACATAATGGTTATGTCACTATGTAGAGATGATTTTATAAAAATCTAAGCATTCCGATAAACTGGGGATTTTTTTGGTAAATACTGAAAAATTGATTTTTTGTCAAATTCATCACTTTCACATTTTTTGAATGTGTGGCATTTTTCAAAACTATTACAACAATAAAATAATGAAAAGAAACATTGCTAATCAACCCTATAAATATTTTATTTATCATAACATATCTACAACATGTTATAGAAAGCTTATTTTATTGAAATTGTATGGATAAAAGTTACTAAATACAAGCTAAAAGCAAACAGGACACAAAGTTTCATACAAAAAGAGTGAAAAATTAAACCAAATACACACAAAGTCTTTATAATTCATTTATTTTACATTTTACAATAATTTTGATCCTGATGAGAGTTGTCTACCTTGAAAAAAATCGGAACTTTTTGCAGAGGGATAGAATTTATACAATGACAGTTATTTTCTTTAATGTACTAAAAACGACGGAAATAAATTCATTTACTATATTTAATTGTCAATTTACTGTTCTTTTATGGAACAAAATAACTCTCATTCATGTACACTTTGGACATCATTCCATAGCCCGCTTACGCATGGTATATTTACATGTCAGGTACATATGTAACCATACGCTATCGCATGGTATGCCGTTAACACGTGCACGCACATGTACTTGCATTTTATAGGGATCTTGATATTTTACAAACCACTATTTTCACAGTGTTATTGTAATTGCATTTGTGAAACGATTTATCTGACGTAACTCGCTCGACAACAAAAATCGTAGCGACCAAGAGCTTGTGAACTGCTGTTAGCACGTGATACGTACAGGTGACATAAGATTGACGGAGACTTCACAAGCTTAAGAAATATGTTTAGTAAAAATATTTCGTATTTTCTCGAAAGATAGTTTTCTGGTAATGTTCTCAGTAACTTCTTCCTATACTTCAGTTGTAACAGTTCTTCGTTAATGCCACTTTTTTAAAGTTTTAAACTCCTTATTTTGGATTGATTTATTTATGCTCATGAATATTTTGATTTTTTTAAACTACTTATTTAATCATTTATAACAGTAGATATCTAATTCAGACCTTCCAGTGCTGAAAGTGCTACTTTTTAGAATATAACACATAATATGTTATCATTTGTTCCAATTATTTATTGTACCTATAACCCAAATACAAGTTTGGGCGGCTTTATGGCAGACGGGTGAGTGAAACACGAATTCAACTTCTCGCGAATACTAAAAAAGGAAGTAATATCAAATAGTGATTTACGTGATCACACATACGGTGCTGACATACAAATTAAACACAATTAATATACATCATGCTTAGGACGCTGATTTAAAGTTTGAATTATGCATGGCAGTATAACTTTTGTGGCTAGATGTTTTTCATGGCGCAGCATAAAATCGTGTGGATACATATTTAAGCGCCTTTAATTATTCAACCCTGTCTCAAATGTTTTATCTGCAAACTGCTCCACCATAATAATGATTATAAAGAATGTTCTGTAAAAGTACAATCATTGCCTTTAATTCAAACGCAAAATATCCGTTTATTCTGTCTTTCTTATCGACATGATCGTTATCATCACTTCTTAATAAAAACAATGGAGTAACTAGAAATGGAGGCATATTCGATTCAACAGTTGATAGAACTACTTTCGCAAATAAGACTTTCGTCATATAACTGTAACATTAAACTAAGATATATTCATTGTTCACTTCCATGATAGTAACATACCTGCTTCCCCAGCCTGCAGTATATACATGTTGCAGTTGATTTGGTCTGCAAGAGCTTGTTCCAAACATCATAATTTCCGTTCTAAAAACATAGAGTTTTCTATAATGTAGGTTGATGAAGAAGAAGACTATGATCATGTTTTAGGGCTTTGTCCCATGCTATTTTTTTGTGTGATGTAAAGGTAGATATATTTTTATTATGTGCACAAGTGTCTCCCGTTGCTTCTAAGTAATTCCCTCGTTCCCGCTATTACTTGGATTTGACCTAGGTTTACAATTCGGATGTCGTCGATGAAACAGGAAACGGTAACCCTTCCGGAACACCTGGGACTCAACGACTTTGTGATAAACGACACCAGACTCAAGATGGCGTTCGACATGTGTCTTTTATTAGGGTCGCTTGCCCCATCAATCCGTCAATAAACAAAGGTCGCTTACAACAATAACCAATAATAATAATGTAGAGTTCTAAGAGAAGCAACTCTTACATACAGTTATGGCAATTACATTACATCTCCATTTTTATGTTAAATAAACCAGTCCTATACAACATACACACTTAATAAGTCCTTAAGTTGACTTAAACAGTCCTGCTGAACATAATCATTCAGGTATGCTGGTCTTGAACTTATTCTTTCAGCTCGTGTGATTGTATTTGCAACGTTTGGCTTTCCTATTTCATTTTCATGATGTTCATTAATAGGTTTTGGAGTGTTCTCAACATCTATCACGTCATCTAGCTTGCTCGTTCCTTAACAACAGCTGGTTCCTATTTGCGGTTTTCGGTATTTTGTACACGCACAATTTCACCGGAATTAACTGGCGGCTGAATAACGCATTGGCGTTTGAAGTTTTTGACGATTTTTTCCGTTTCAGTGACGGCAGCGATTCCTGTGCTAATTAATAGCGGAGTAGCACACGGCAGTTTTGTTTTCACTTGTCGGTTCATGAGCATTTTCGCAAGTGATTCATTAACACCATCAATAGGTGAGGCACGGTACTCGAGTAACCCAATGTAAATGTCACCTTGACTTTCATCGGCCTTTTTAAGTAAGTTTTTGATTGTCTGATCACATCTTTCGGCCTGCCCATTAGACTTCGGATATCTTGGGCTTATCGGTTACTAATTCCCGTGGAATTCCATGCCTTGCAAAAATCGACTTGAACGCGGTTACCGTCGTTTTGCCTGTTAAGTCCTGAAGCGACACTATTTCCGGATATTTTGAATAGTAGTCAACACAGAGCAAGTACTCGTTTCGTTTGTAGTTGAACAAATCTGCACCAACTTTCCACCACGGCTGAGACGGAATATCATGCGGAATAAGCGGTTCCTTACTATTGGATTTACGGTACTTGTTGCAGACTGCGCACTGTGACACCATTTGTTCAATATCGTGGTTCATTCTTGGCAAAAATAGGATTTGACGGGCGCGTTGTTTTGTCTTGACAACACCCAAGTGAGCCTCGTGAAGTTTTTCCAACATTTCACGGCAATTTCAGTATTCGCGAATATCACGGTCAACATCCTTCTGAATAACTGGCCAACCAATGTTCACAATTTGCATGAGTTGCTGAAGGCAATTGCCCGCAACGGTTGCTCGTTTCAACTCGTCAAGTTTCGTAGGCGACACGTGTAGTTGTTCCTCCAGGAAGTTTACATCGATCTCCTCGTCAACTAACTTTTCGGTCGTTTCGTTCAGGTACGCCCTGGATAACGCGTCGGAAATATACATTTCTCTGCCTTGTTTGTACAGAATAGTCAGATCATATCGTTGTAATCGCATCAACATTCGCTGTAGACGCGGTGTGGACTGAGATATCGGTTTCGCATGTATCGCGACTAGCGGCTTGTGATCGGTTTCTACCGTGGCTTGACGACCATAAATATACTGATGGAATTTCTCGCATCCATACACAATGGCTAACATCTCGCGTTCGATTTGCGCATAACGCATCTGTGTTTCTGTCAGGGCTCGCGAACTACACGCAACCGGATGTTCATTCTGCATGAGCACAGCACCTAACCCTCTCGAGCTTACACAACAGATAGGGTAACGGGCTGTTTAACATCGTAAAATTTCAACACTGGCGCTGACGATACAACCTGTTTCAGCTTGCGGAAACTATTTTCCTGTGGAGCGTCCCAATGCCACAAAACGTCCTTCCGCAGCAATTCGCGTAAAGATGCAGATATTTCAGACAGGTTTTCGATAACAGCAAGGTATTGTACGATACCAAGAAAACGTTTCACTCCGGCTTTATCTACGGGTGCGGGCATTTCCAAAATTGCTCTGACCTTGTCAGGGTCAACTTTCAGTCCGTCTTTACTTATGACGTGGCCTACGCACTTCAGTTCCGGTACCCGAAGTTCCATTTTTGCTTTGTTGAGTTTGAAGTTTCGCTCCCTCGCACGTTGGAGCATTAAATGTACACGCTCATCGTGCTGCTTATCATTCTCGCCCCACACAAGAATATCGTCAACAACGCACTCGACTCCATTGATGTCCTCAAACATTTCACGCACTCGTTTAGTGAACACTTCCGGTGCTGAGGTGATACCAAAAGGCAGTCGTAGATAGCGATATCTTCCAAACGGCGTATTGAAACTTAGTAATTTCGTGCTTTCGGAATCTAGGCCAATCTGCCAAAACCCATGGGTTGCGTCGAATCGTGAAAAAACTTTCGCATTTGGAAGTCTTGCGGCGATCTCATCGATTATCTCCAAGGGGAAGTGTTCTCTTTTAATCGCACGGTTAAGGTCTTTTGGGTCGATACACACTCGCGTTTTACCCGGTTTAACCACAGTGACCATGCTATGTACCCAGTCAGTGGGCTTATCTTGTTTCCCAATGACGCCTAGCGATACCATACGGTCTAGTTCGGTGCGCACTTTATCGCGTAATGCAGCGGGCACTCTCCTTGGTGAATGAACAACTGGCGCGACCGTCGGATCAAGTTGTATTTTGTGTACCCGGACAACAAACCAAGTCCCTCAAATACATCGCTGTATTCCTTGCTGATTTCGTCTTTGGTTATTTTTTTTTCAACGGAGTGTACGCGTACTACAGAACCAATGTCACTACACATTTTCCTTGCAAGAATGGGCTGTGTGTTAATGTCTACAATATAGAAGTTCATGTCGTACGTTTTCCTGCGAAAAACAACAGGAATTTCCTTGACGCCCTTAGGGTGTATGCGATTTCCATCGTACGTGACTAGCATGATTTTTGTATTTGACAGTTCTTTGTTTTTCAACTGTAAACTGTTGAACACTGTTTTCGGCAACGCGTTTGCTTGGGCCCCATTGTCTAATTTAAACTGCACTGGTTTTGAACTTAGCACCAAAGTTTCTGTCCAATCTTCAGTATCCGGGTCCTGGCCAATACTATCCATAACTCTGACGGTGCCTATGAAAAATTCATCATCGCTTTCATGACTCACCGCGTGAACTGCTCTCGGCCTCGGCTTCATTTTGACTTTTGTGAAGCACTGTTTTGAGAAGTGGTTCAGTCTATGACAATTATAGCACTCTTTGCCATCCGCAGGACAAACTCCTTTTCCAAGTCCATGTTGTGTACCACAGCTTCTACATTTTTTTTTAGTACTTTCAGCACTTTGATTTTGCTTATACTGCACTGCTGACGCTTTGCGAGGTTTATTACGTTTATACCGGCTTCTTTCCTTGTGCCTGACTTGACGTGACACTGCATGTACTTCTGCTGAAGCTTCATGTTGATCTAGACTTTTCGTTTGTTTAGCACTGACTTCGTGCGCGCGACAAATGTCAATAGCTTTTGCTAATGTCAAATCGGATTCGCGTAATAAACGCCTTCGACACGTTTCATCTTTGATTCCACACACTATGCGGTCTCGGATCAAACCATCTTTGAGATTTTCAAATTCGCATTGTTGTGCCTTATTCTTGAGATCAGTGGCAAAGGAGTCAAAAGTTTCATGACTTAACTGTGAACAAGTGTTGAACATATGACGAGTGTATGTCAAATTCTTACGAGGTTCACAGTAATCTTTTAATTTTGCTTTTAACACATCAAATCTTTCTTTGTCATCGTCGTTGATTACAAAAGTATTGTACACCCGACGTGCCTCGATGCCTGCAATGTGTAGGAATGCGGCGACTTGCACCTTTCCCGGTTTTTCACCCATACCTGTAGACGTTAAATACAGTTCAAAACCTTGGATCCATTCCTTCCAGTTTTCGGCTAAATTCTCTTTCAGGTTTAGTGACGTTGGAGTTTTTAATTGTTCCATAATGTGTCGTTTTCTTCAGTTTACTTCTGACACCATGTGATAAACGACACCAGACTCAAGATGGCGTTCAACATGTGTCTTTTATTAGGGTCGCTTGCCGCATCAATCCGTCAATAAACAAAGGTCGCTTACAACAATAATCAATAATAATATTATAGAGTTCTAAGAGAGGCAACTCTTACATACAGTTATGGCAATTACATTACAGACTCCTTTGTTCATAGTTTGCCCTTGTTATATCGATTTTGAGTTTAAATTACATTAGACGCTTTCGTTTACTTCTTTATATGGACAAGCTGCATCACATACTTTTTTCTATTTGAACAAAAGTAATTCTTAATCCCTTTAAAATTTCATTGCATGTATTTATTCATCATAGGTATTGGGTATGCAAGGTTAAAGACATATCATGTTTGTTCAAATGAAATTCCTTGAACAACTTTCAAAGTGAAAGGGGGCCAAATGTATAAAAATACTGAAACAATTTCTTCTAAATACTAATGTTCTGATTACAAAGGCTTCATGAGTAAAATAGGTTAAAGTAACTTAATTTGGATCTATACTCAGCTTGACACTTATCATTGATTTATTATTATTTTCTTTTTGCAAGGGAATTTAATCTGACCAACCTTAGGTTCAATCCTTTTGACAAATTGGAAATTCAAATATGTCGGTTCGAGTTGAATAAGATTTGTTTGAATAAATTGCAGCTTTTACATAGAATGAATTTAACAAAAGTTGAAACTGTACAGCATTAAATAACATATGAACAATTCAGGCCCTTTGATGTTTCTTCTTAAGTTAAATATCAGTTATATCAGTTTTTAATTTTGGAATAGCTGGTATATATAAAGAACATCAAGTTTTTGAGTATCTTTACTCTCAGTATTTTGATGTGAAATTAAATTTTTGTTTCTTTCCCACTTTATCTTTCACTGTCATTACTGTTTCCTTTTTTTTTAAACAAAAAAAGTCATTGATCTTGGCAAAAATTAGAAATTAATTGGCGTCAAAACGATTAATCATGCTAGCTTTGGACAAAGGTTCATGTCGCGTCCTACTATGAAATCGTGAGGAAGCTAGGTCAATGGGCTTGTCCTCATACACACATATATTGTTGTGTTTTAGATCATACCGTATATGGTCATCTGGTTGTTTAAAGATACTCCGGGAATGTCAGGTCTGTTCATGGCTTCCCTTTTCTGTGCCTCACTCAGGTAAGTTCTTTTGTTCCCCACACAGGTGAGTTCTTTAGTACCTCACTCAGGATAAGTTCGTCTCAACTTTACTGAGGTAAGTTCTTTTGTATCTTACTCAGGTCAGTTCTTCTGTGTTGTACACAGATTCGTCTATGCTTAACCCATGTTATCTCTTCTCTGCCTCACTAAGGTAACTTCTTTTTACCGCATTCAGGTAAGTTTGTCTTAACCATATTGAAGTGCGTTCTTGTAGGCTTCACACAATTAAGTCTTAATATTTCCGTCGATTCTTTCGAAAGTTTTTTTTTAACACCAATTGTATCTGGTTAAATACAACTAGGTAAGTAATCAATCCGTTCTAGCTACATTGACCTGCTTCCTACTATTTATTTACACAAATCACGGATCTCAGTTGCTATTAGACCTAAACGTAGCCTCTTTTACCCCGGTTAGGACCTTTGGATTATTTGAAGAAAATTGTCTTAGGAATACAAGAATGTCACTGAAGGTTTTATTTAACTATTCACATAATTCAAATTTACACCATCAGAGCCAATATTGCATCTTCTTTGAAGCGAACTATGTTCTTGTCTCTCTTACTTTACCATTATTTGCATTTTTATTAGGATTCATGATGATTTGCATTTGTTTCCGTATTTCAGCGATTCATGCTGTTGTCTTTTGTATCAATTTGAGCTTGATATTGGCATTGTGTGATGACATTCTTCATATATTTCTTTCATAATAAATTGAGATTGATGGTCAAATCTCTTATAACACCAATTCTTAGCTTTGTGTATTATGAATTTATCGTTAATATCATACACCACATTTCGGTAACGGTAAACTAAATTCTCAATTTGACATTGACTATCAAGAAATATTCAGTATGAATTACATGATACACTAAACAAAACCGTATTGATACGACTACTCAAGTCAGCAATGACATCTTGTTAATAATAATACATTCCCAATAGATAAAAGCAACTTAAATTTGTTGCCGTTCAAGCACTCTGTCGTCCGGTCTGAGCAGCCTCTCCGCCCAGACTGTAGAAGACATGGTCAAACCATTCTGGCCAAACATTTCGGACAGAAAAGCGACAACTATTGCCAAGCTGTCAGGTAACTACCGTCCAACCACCACGTCTAATTCTGTTTATGCAGACGATAGTGTAAGGGAGAACAAAGGAAACTTCCATCCAAATCTGTAGGTCTTGTTTCTTTCATTTAATCAAATCTTCAGTCATTCTTTCTTTCATTTAACCAAATCTGTAGTTCTTACTTGTTTTACGGAAATTCATGCATCCAAATGATAATTTAGATTTAGGTTTCATTGTGATAAATGGAGAAAAATTCTATATTTTCAAAGTCTCATCGATTCATCAATGATCAGTATGTCATGACAAAAAGATAGAAGAAAAGAAGCGGTTAGTTTATATGAACTTAAACAGACATCTGAATTAAAAGATGTAAATAGGAGATATGATAGGAAAATATGATAAACGAATACAGTTGAACGAATGCAGAATAACTTTAATGTATTGTTTTTTTGAAAATTCCCTATGTAGTTTACTCTTTTTATAGTGTTATTTTACGGAAGTCTTTCTCTGGCTGTGTCCTTCATGATCGCTAACATCGAGGGAATGCCACTCTCTCAGGTATGTGACGCCACCATTGTTCAATAGTGAGAATCGATGATTGTATGGTATTAGTGCAAGATAAAGCATGTTGGAAATGATATATCACATAGGGATATTGTCCAATAAGAATCACTGATAAAATAACTCATTAATCAACAAGAAATCACTTAATCTAGACAAAGTCGATACTCAGAATAAGAAGTATTAAATCAACTGTGAGTGAATATCATCCATAAGTAGGAGAGGCTAGTATGTTACTTATGAGGAAAGGAAAGTTAAAAGTATATATCGGAAATGAGAGAGATAATAAATGTTATTCATTTACAGATAACTGGTCAGATGTTGTCTGCCTTTGGAGGTGCCTCAGGAGGCATGTTTTTGTATTCGATATTTTGCCCCTGGGCTAACAAAAAGGTCAATATATATGCTGGTAAAAAAAAAGTAATTTAAAAATGTATTGTTTAAATAATGAAGCTAATATGGTTTATTTGAAGTTTCAATTGTAATTTACTCTTAAGCCGTTGTTTGGTCAATTATCACTATTCCTCGATAATGCTTCTATTCTCATGCAAACAATGATAACGTTAAGTGAGGGGTTTTCAGTAATCCTTTTGTGGAATTAAATTATTAAAAATCAAGATTCCAAAAACATTGTTTATAGTGTTTTCGGTCGTACCTGAACAAATAACTTCACTTTGGAACTTCTTGTTCGTGGTTTTTCGGTCGGCAAAAGATAATAGTTAACTCTTTTGCGTTATAATTTTTTCAGGAAAATTAATGGTGGACTAACACGAAAACCAAAAAAATAAGAAATATCACATTTACATATTCGGCCTTTAAGTATAAGATGGCTTGTTTTGAACTATATATATTATAACCCTGACTTTAACAGTTTTAAATCATGTTCAACTTATTTCCTTAAATAGGGAGTCATAATTGGAGGTATTTTTGGAATGATCTTTATTTTCTGGATTGGAATCGGTAAAAGCTTCTCTACAACTTTAATCAAAGAGCCACGACTCCCTCCTGTGTCGTTAGGATACTGCCACCTAAGGGACAGCATCAACGTCACCAGTGACGTCACTAACACGACTGAATTGTTCAATGCAACCATGACAACCATGGTCACGGAATTTCACGAACCCCTTGCCCACCAAAAGTATGTAACGTGATAAAAATGATAATCAGTTTATAGTGGTTATTGTTGACGTCATCATTATGACGTCACAATGGTAACGTTTGATTCCAGTTAATCCTGATGGCAAGTATTATTGATTGAAAAAACAAAAATCATTTCCGAAAACAAATCGTACATATTTTTAGCGTTTTCAATATGATATCACAGTGAATTCGAATGCTTACAATTAGAAACTTATATATTTAACAAATATTTTCAAAGAATTTACCAAAGCAATGTGGGATACCAATGAAAAAGGTATCCTATAAAAAAAAGGCTCACACATTGAAAAATCCAGTAGAGGGAGATCTCCCACACAGTCTGGTCTTCTCAGATGTTTGCAACCCTAATGATATTAGAATCGTTTTTCTCCGATTAATTTTAAAGTTTGTATTTTATTGTCAGTGAGGGTTTGGACAGATTGTACTCCGTATCTTACCAATGGATTGGTGCCATGGGAATTTTCACTACCATTATTGTAGCTAGCCTCGTCAGTATCGTTACAGGTAAGTTATATGGCTACAAGTTCCTCCATGTGTATACAAGAAAGGGTTTGTGACTAAATGGCTTCCAGTTATTCGAATCTTATGTCAATACCTTGTTGTTTGGTCTAAAGTGGTTTTGGAATAACACAGTATGGTGTATAAGGTAAAGAGTATCAACGATTTAAACTTTATACTAGTGATTACCTTTTCACTATTGAAAAATATTTGTTCAAGCCCTTTTCAGCAGAAATGTTCCATAAACACTACATGTTGTCATGCATTTTACAAAATCATACTTGTTAAAAATTTGAATGTTTGAAATTTGAAAATAGAAATAAGAAGGAAAATACAAAAAAATATTTTTCATTGTATCAATGTCGCTGTCTAGAAATCACAACTGCCAACTATCAGAAATAATGTCCAACTTTTGAGCCGTAAAGCCCATGGAGAACTTCCCATGTTTACACTAAGCCAGAAAAACTTTTTCACGGCTGCTGGATTCATCTTCTTTATACAAAGGAGAATACTCAAAGTCGAACAAAAATCTGAGTTTAACTCTTCTTCGCGATTACAACCGGTGCAGTGTTACCCATTACCTCTGTTATACTACAACCGGTGCAGTGTTACCCGTTACCTCTGTTATAATACGGTGCAGTGTTAACCGTTACCACTGTTGTATTACAACCGGTGCAGTGTTACCCGTTACCTCTGTTATATTACAACCGGTGCAGTGTTACCCATTACCTCAGTTATATTACAACCGGTGCAGTGTTACCCATTACCTCTGTTATACTACATCCGGTGCAGTGTTACCCGTTACCTCTGTTATAATACGGTGCAGTGTTAACCGTTCCCACTGTTGTATTACAACCGGTGCAGTGTTACCCATTACCTCTGTTATACTACATCCGGTGCAGTGTTACCCGTTACCTCTGTTATATTACAACCGGTACAGTGTTACCCGTTCCCTCTGTTATATTACAACCGGGGCAGTGTTACCCATTACCTTAGTTATATTACAACCAGTGTAGTGTTACCCGTTTCCTCTTTTATATTATAACCGGTGCAGTGTTACTCGTTACCTCTGTTATATTACAACCGGTACAGTGTTACCCGTTACCTCTGTTATATTACAACCGGGGCAGTGTTACCCTTTACCTCTGTTATATTACAACCGGTGCAGTGT